CCCTTTGAAACAAGACGGACATGGCTTGCATTCTGGATTTCCCTAGACCTACAAGTCTGTCCTGGAATCTGCTGCTTCCCTTCCTCTTCAGTATTTGTTCCCCTGCTTCAAGTAAGAGTCCCTCAATTTTCTTTAGAGATCTTCCCTTCCCTCATTTTCAGTTTACATGGTTCAGGCAGGGCTGACTGGTCTCCAGTGGATATGGGACATGTGGCCCAAGCCAGAGAAGCCACCCTTAAGACTTAGCTAGAATTACAAAGAACGAGTGACTCTCCTTTTGGCTGCTAAATTGGTGGCAGATATACCTGAAAGTTTTGAGGGCTACTTTGGTCACCACTAACTAGGATAAGAACAAAGCTGAAGCAGGAGACATCATTTGAGTCCCTGGATCTAGCTGTTCTCAATTTCTCATTTTCCCACGAAAATAAATTCCCATTTCTGTTTAACATAGTGAGGATTGGGCTTCAGCCACTTGCTCCATATGTGACCTTAGCCTGTGACTTCTTTTTGAGCCTTGTTCAGTAGGCTCACATCATGAGCAGTGGTGAGAATTCCAGGAGAGGAGATCTGTGTTAAGAGAATATCCAGGAGACCACCACAGAGCTCCTGCCCCTGTTCTTAAGTCTGATTCTGTTTCCACCTCTTTTCTCCATACTTTTTGAAGGAGACTGGACTTCAGGACCACTCTGGCAATTCCGTCTGGTGCTGAAGAGCGCTGGAAGCAGGTGATGGCCCAGCAGGGGAGCAACCCTACCCTCCTGTGTAGAGTGTTTGAACAGAGTTCCTGTGTGGATAGTCAGGGATGACAGCAGTTGTCTCTGGCAGCTCACCCACAACACCTGCTCCCTTCTGCCTGCCTCTAGCTTCCTGTGCCAAGTACCTGTGCTCCTTTGCCTGAGGAAGGGGCCTTCCCAGAAGGGACAGGCTGGCAGTGGTGGGGAGTCAATGTTGCCAGAAAAAGTCCATCTCAGTGAAAGATGGAAGCTGAGATGTAAGCCCCAAAGAGTGAAGAATACTCAGCATGTGGTACCTTAGGAACCCAGAGCAGCAACCAGCTCATGAACCAGTGTAAGCTTTCTCCCTTTCCTGGTTCACTTCCTCATTCCCCTACCACTCTTCTGAGGATCACCTCCCAGTCAGCTACTTTAGCATGAATCTTTGTATCTGGGTCTGGGGGAACCCAGCCCAAGATGGGCTCATTCAGTTCCATGTTCTGTGCTCAAGACAAAGTAGTCTACAGAGGGGGCTGTCCAGACACATCAGGGCTGTATCCTAGCTTCTGGGTAATCAAACAACCAAGAGCCTCACACATCCTTTGACAATGACCATTTATTACCCATGTCTGGGCTGGGTACTCAGATTGGGGGGAGACCATTGACATAGCTAAGCATCAGGTGGGGCATCCTGGCCTGTCGGGCATGAGAGCAGCAGGGGCCCCCTGAAATGGGCAGAAACAATGTGACACCCATCAGAAGAAAGAAAAAGAGGATAAGGAGGAAGGTCAGGGGCCATCTGGATGCAGGAGCAGAGGCCCTGAGGGGGGAACGGAAATGTTAGATACACAGGTGGGCTACAACCACGAGCCCAGTCTCCCACATCCCCAGACCAATGTCTTCCAAGCATCTCACCCAGGATCCACCTCCAGCATCACATCCTGAAGACGAGGAGATGTTTGCCTCTTCTTGTCCTAAGGTGGACAGCAGCCAGCAGCAGAATGGATAGATGTCACCCTTAATGTGGCCTTTCCCTTACTACTATAGACTTGCAAGACCAGTCTCATTTATCTTCCTTTCCTCTTTCCCCCCAGGCCCCCACATGGATTCAAGAGTGTCTCCAAGTGTGGATGTCTGTCTGTCTCTATGCAATCCAATATCCTCCTTTTCCTGATAACATTGGCTTAGTTTGGCCGGGGGCAGGTGTGGGGATCATGCCTCCCCCCTCATAGACCTTCAGGCTCAAGTGTAGCTGACTCCCACCTCCTCCATTTTCACTATTGGTCATGTGATCCAGATGTGACCAATCAGAGCATTCTGATTGGATGGGGTGGGGTATAACTCATGACCCAAGCAGGGCAGCCCTGGGACTTTGGCTGCTGCCAGTAGGTCAGAAGCATTGTCTTTTCCTGGGGTGCGTAAAGCTATGTGCAGTGAGTGTGTAACAGCCAGAGCAGCCACTGAGGAGAAAGCCACCTCAGGGAAGTAGTACCCAAGACAGGGAGGGGACTGAGCCCTGATAGAATTTAAGATCTGAATTCAGCAGTGCCTGGACTTTTCAGTTACAAGGAACAAAGAGCATTCCCCTTTTTTATTTTTATGTTGGTCAATTTTGGTTAGTTTTTTGTTACTTGCCATAAAGGTTCTCAATTGCTATACCTGGCTGAGGACCAGCTCACCTGAGGCTTCTGGAGCAGGGAGCGTCTTCGGTGACCTATTAAATGTTTCTGGTGGCTAAACCCCAATGAGAGCATATCCTGTGAGGAAAGAGGGGTGTGGAAAATTGCAGCAAAGAAAAACATGGTTAGGGGAGGGTCTAGAAAGGGGAGTGTCACAGAGATAAGATTCTGGGGGAACAAAGAAATCTCAAGGGAGAGATAGAAAGGGGAAGAGCCAGAGAAACCAAGAGGGGAGGGGCATTATTTATTCATTTCCTCAACAAATATTTGATGAGCATCTATTACCTGTCACTCCAGGAACTCAGGGACAGTGGGGATGGAAAGAGGGAAAGTCCTGGCCTCCATGGAGCTTATATTCTAGGCAGAGATGCCAAAAATTAAATAAGTAACTGTATAATGTCAAACTACGGGAAGTTCTGTGAGGAAATACAGTAGTAAGATAAGGAGTGCTATTGTTGGAGGCTAGGGAAGGCCTCTGACAAGGTGACATTTGAGGAGAGACTAGAATGAAATCAGGGAGTGAACTGAATGTGAACCCCGGGCCTCTGAGATGAGAGCTGTGACACAGAAAGTGAGGGCACAGGGACAGGAAATAGCATTGAGGATGCAGATAGAGATGGGAAGGAGGGAGACTGAGAGAGAGGGACTCCTGGAGACAAAGAGATAGGTGGTAGGATCAAGGGACTCCTGGAGACACTGAGAGACGGAGAGGGACAGACAGCACTAAGACCTCAGTAAAAGGAAACGCCCATGCTACAATACACAAAGGGGGCTCTGGGGGTGCCTGGCAGAGTTGGGGAGCCCTCAAGAGGGACTGCTCTCACCTCAAGACTTTGTCCCCTGCCCTGGAGGCCCCTGTGGCCACACAGCTCACAAAGAGGCCCTGGTGTCTGTGTTGTCTTTTGCTTCGAGGGTCCAAGCTCCCCAACATCCCCTGCTGGGTCCCACTCCAACTCTGCAGGGGTGGGGAGGTTACTGGGTGCCCAGGGCCCTGAGGCCCCATCAGGTCCTGGCCCATCCAAGTCCCCCTCGACCTCCAAGTCCTGGTCTGGCATATTGGCCTTCTCGAACACCTAAGTCAAAGGACAGAGTTCATAGGAGTTGGGGGGCCCGGGGTTGGGGACTGGGGTCTGTACTGAGGACAACCAGGGCAGTTTGTACCAGGCTGTAGCTGGCCAGCTGGGCCTGCAGCTGCCAGAGCCGTCGGAAGATGGTGTCCCGGTGTGCTCCAAGGGCCCTTAGGATCTGCTCCAGAGATGCCCAAGCCCTGGGCTCACTGCGCTGTGCCAGTCCCTCACCAAATGTTAGCAGTGCATCCACACGCTCGGCTGCCCCTCGTAGATCTGCCTGGAGGGCCTGGACACATGGTTAGACATCACCCCACACACATGCCAGGGAGGCCAGAGACCAGAACCTGATCACCCCCTTTCCTGTTTCCTACCCAGAAACCTGGAACACATACTAAACCCTCTTCTCGCTGCAGAAAGCTGGAACCCACTCCTGGGGCCCTGCCCACCCTCCTGCATCCTGTCCTCCCAATGCCCACCTATAGCTGGACCATCCTGCGCTGGGCCAGTGTCCAGGGCCCAAGGCCTTGCTCCAGGTCCTGCAGCTGGAGACCCAGCCCCAATAGGCAGAGGTGCAGACTGTCCTGCTCAGCCTCCAGGGCCTCCAGGCCAGAGCCAGGGTGCTGGGGAACACAGGGGGCTGAACCAGGGTCAGTGGGCCAATCAAGATAATACCTCCACCCTTCTGCAAGCTGCTGCTTTCTGGATGATTCTCTGCACCAGAGTCCATTCCTGGGGCTACATCAGGGTTGCTCCCCACCCAAGGGGCCTTCCACTTGGAGGATGGGGACATATAATTCAAGGTCTACAGATTTTTAAGCTTCCTTGAAACTTGGATATATGGGCATGGGAGTCTGGACAGGGAGGGAGCTGATCCCTGAGAAAAATGGAGGTGTATCCAGGCACCTAATTGGTAAAATATTGAAATATTTTTATAACAATTAGTAAAGAAATGTTTTCCACAGCACCTCACACCACCACCACAGATGCCCAACACCTTTCCAGAATCATCTCCTCATCTCCAGAACAGAGGTCAGATTCTAGGGGACAGAGAAGGCTGACATAAAGGGGTCTATTCACCTCAGCTCACCTCATGGTGTTTGTTCCCATCTGGGTCCTCCTGGAAAGAGGGCGTTGATGTTCTTGGGGGTTCAGTGCCCCTCAACCCACCCTGGACATGCCCAGGAGGGTCCAAGAAGTCCTGTGCCTGCTCTCTCCTGGGATGTAAGGGGTGTTGACAGGTCCAGGACGGGCCGCTGTACCTCATTTCTATCCACCCTAACCCCATCCCAGTTACCTCTCCCATGTCCCCAGATGATCATAGCCACAGCACCTCCCGGCCCTAAATGGCCCCTGCCATTGCTCCCACCCTCATGGAACCAAGTTTTAAAAGCCCCAGCCCCCACCTGATTGTCTCCTCTCCAGATGCAAGACAGACGGTGCATCCAGCAATGTCCGGCTCCCTAGGGGCTCCTGGGGGATGATTGAGAGGCTCTGAGGGGAGCCTAGGTGGGGACAGAGACATATCTGGGGACCTGGGTACAAAGAATCAGGTGAAGACACCTGTTAAGAGCCTTTTGCCTAATAATGGTGTCTCCTAGACTTCCTCAGCAGGACTCACTCAGGTCTGAAGCTGCCAGAGGCCCAGGGGCAGGTGTGGCACCACCCATTCCTAGAGAAACAAAACCCAGGTAATTTGATGCCCTGCTGAGGTGATAGCAGAGCCACTTAACTCCTTCCTCCCTAGCAGGACCAGTAACCAAACCTCCCAGCATCACCTCACCTCAGTCCAAGGGGATCCAAGATAGAAAGCCTCAAAAGCCCTGGATTCTGACCCCCTATGTGACCCATAAGCTGACCTCCAGGGCCCACCCCATCCACTTAAGGTCCCAGATGCAGTGCCCCTCAAGAAAACAAGAATCTGTACTGTGACCCCCCACCCACCCCTCCTCCCTACTCCAAAAAAAAAATATTAAAAAAAAAAAAAAAAACTAAAACCAAGAAAAGATATTTTTGGTTTATTTGGGATGAGTTCTTCTCCCATGGTTCCCATAGTTACTGGGAAAATAAACAACTCAGGGGAGCCACCTCTGCCCCAGAGTACCAAGGTCACAGCATCCCAACAGCCAAGTAGAAAGCCCTGTAATCAGGCAGGACCTGGAGCCTGGCAGTCACTTGCTGAGCAGGAGACCAGTGCGTAGTACTCGGGGTACACGGCGGATGGTCAGCGAGACTCGGGTGCCGCGCACCAGGTGGGCTCCAGGCAGTGCCGACCTGCAGGCAGCCGCATTGGGTGGCAGTGAGGCAGTGTCCAGCACGTCTACCTGGGTGGCTGCGATGCCATGCAGGAGGCGTGTGTATGCAGTACCACGGAGCACCAGCAGGCTGCACGGTTCCAGCAACAGTGAGGTAGTGGGCTGGGGTGGTGGCCGGGGCTGTGAAATGGGTTGGTAGTTAGAGGCTAATCAGAGGTCAGGTATGGGCAGTCAGGTTTCAGGGGTCAGGGGACAAGGGTGAGTACCCAGGGGCAAAAGCTGAAGAGTAAGAGTGCTCCTAGGAATGGAGTCTTTGGTGAAAATCTGTGGGCTCCACAGTTATAGCTGATGGGAAGGGAAAGGACTAGAAGTCAGCAGTCTCACCAGATCCCTCTGACAGGAAGTAGGCTGCAGATGGGCACCTCAAATGGTCAGCTGACTGTGGGAGTTGAAGCTGGGGCTGGGGATGAGCTTGAGATCAGAAGGCCCCAGGACACTAGGGCAGAGCTGGGCTGAGAGGGCATGTTGAGGCAAGGACCAGGGGTGGGCAATGTAAAGGGGCTGAAATATCTGAGGACATCAGGATGTTGGAGGACACTGACATTAGGAGGCAGGTCAAAATATTCAGGAGCATGAAAGGCTAACGGGGAAACCTCAAGGAGCAAAGGGCTAGGGTGTGTCCAGGAGTCTCTGTGAACACTGGGATGTCAGGAATATCCCTCAGTGAAAGAGGTCAGAGAGGGTGCTGTCAGGGTTTCTGTGGGGGTCTCTGAGCAGAGTCATGTGACATGGGATCAGGAGAATCTGGGCACATCTGCACTGCAGATCACATTTCTGGAGTAGCAGGATATTAGTGTTGTAGTGCTCAAATAGTGGGACGAGAGGGCAAGTGGGAAGATGTTGGGACACCCATGAGTGAATGACACTAGGGTATCTGAGGATATCAAGAATGTCTCTCGCGGGGCTCAGCTGGCAGAGTGCTTGCCTTGCAAGGTCCTGGGTTCAATTCCCAGCACCACAAAAAAAAAAAAAAAAAAAGAAGAAGAAGAATGTCTATTGAGTACTGGGGGGCCATACATGGGCCACAGGTGAGCCCAGGTCTGTTGGGCCACTGAGTATATGGGGTCAGGGGACCGTGGGGTGTCAGGGCATCTACTCAGCAGTAAAGGCACTGGGTGTCTGTGTTATGGCAGTCAGGGCACCCAGCAAACAGATGGCTTGGGTGTCTGGGAGGAAGTGAGTGTAACACAAGAAAGAACAGGTCAAAGTGTCTAGAAGATGTTCAAGAATAGCCTGGGGCAAATGGGATTGGGTCAGCCTGGAGGAGGTGGGATGTGGGCACTCCCAGTGCTTGGGGCAGCGTTGCAGACCCACCTGTTCTATAGGGTCATCATCCTCTGGCTGCCGAGGTTCATAGAAATCCAGCATGGTGTGGGAGCCCAGGCTGATGGTGCTGACGGTCGGGTAGTAGAGTGGTCCATCCTCGTGGGGCTGGGGAGTGGGCACCAGGGCTGGGCAGGGCAGAAATCCATCCCTCCCACCCTCTGGGTCAAAGGGGCACTCCCGAGCTGGGATGGACACGCGAATGCCAGGTTGGGTATGCGGCTGCTCCATGATGTGAGGGCGGGTGAGCATGATGCCCTACCCTATGATGGCTCAGAGATCTGGGGTGAGGTGGTTACTACTGTGGGGGCTGGGGTGAGGGTATGTGGTTACCATGATGCCCTCCCCAGGCAGATACTGGTTCACGAGGACATGGTTAGCAGGGAGACCCCCAAAAAGGCTGAGATCAGACACTTTATCCACGTAGCGCTGGAGCCACGGGGGCAGTCGCTCAGGGACCATCCCCTTAGGATGGGGGAGCCCACCTGGGGAGTGCAATGGGGTCCTGAGGGCACCAAACCAAGGATCCTGGTACTTGGTGCCCCCTGAAGACCACTGGCCCTTCAGAGATTTTCTGACTTTTCTGGTTCCCCAAACCCCATGAGTTACTGCCAAGTCACCAAGAAGCCCGTAAGCCCTCAGGATCTCCACTGACCCCCTCAGAATCCTTCAGGCCCTTAGAACCCCTTGAGCCCTCAAGGCTCCCCTTATCTTGAGACTACTGGACCTAAACCCTCTGCCCACCCCATATCCCAGAATCACCTACATCCCTAGCTAGGGAAACTTACCCCAGTTCTGTAGCTTCCTCCCAGAAAGCTGGGTCCACTTTGGCTTTGGGGCATTGAAAACCTAGGAGGTGGGGAAAGGTCACTCTTGTTTTTGGAGTCACCCCTCTGTAAGTCTCTCACCCAGTTCAACATAGTGGCCCTTTCCTGGGTTGGAAATGGGTCATCTTAGTGGCTGTGGAATTTTTCTCTGGAGTAGTAAGTTCCCAGGATTTTGTTGTTTGCCTTCTTGCCAGGGCAGGCCTTTGGTCTCAAAGTCCACCTGTGTCCACCAGAATTAAGGAAAGAAACCAAGGCTGCACAATCATAGTTTGAGTCTAGTAAGAACGCTGAGGTTGGCCTAGGCTCTTCCTGGCTATCTGGGGATACTCTGGGTTCTGGAGCACCCTTGTTCCTATTGCATAGGAGAGGGAGTGTGCTGCTGGGCTTAGTCTTAGTACACAGGGAAAGTACTTTGAAAATTCTCCATTGCCAAGATCCCCAGGGTCTAGAATGGGCTATCTCAGTCAAAGAAATCTATACTCTAGTTGATAATCTTATTGTTGGTATGGTTATGAAGCTAACCTGAGCTACTTCAGTACAAGGATTTGAAAATATGTCAAGTTTTCAATCCCAAGAACCAAAAACTTTTGGGCTATTTCAGCACAAGGGTTTATGTACTGTGGTGAACTTGTTCCTGGGACTCAAGCTCAAGAGGGCTATCATAACACTGGGAAGATTGGTGCTCTGTAAGACTCTGGCTAATAAGGGCTATCCCAGTGTGGGAACTCTAGGTTCTGGAAATTCTTTTTTTCCCAAACCTGAAGAATAGAATATGAACTAGGCCATCTCAGCATAGGTGGTGTATACTTGGTAACCTTGTTCCTAGTGTTTGAGACTATGCTGAGCTACCTTGGCACAAGGCAGAACTTACTTTGTTACATCCTGATTCCTGGATTATCTTAGCATAGAAATTTGAACACTAAATTCTTCTATGTTTATAACCTCCTTTAAGATTGCAGGACTGGACTATCTCAACATAGGGAATATCATAACTTCCATGTTCCTGAGACTCTGGAGTTGCATAGGCTATTTCTACACAAGGGATGTGATCTCAATAAAATCCTCATTTTGGAGGCTGGACAGGACTATCTTGGTACAGGGTGTCTGAGCTTCATAATAACTAGCTCCTTCCTAACCATTAGTTTGGTTGCCCCTAAGCCTCCTAGGAAAAAACAAAACAACTCTAACAGCTCTAACAATTTCCAAGAGAAGCACAGGGAGGGTAGGGGAAGGTCTCCTTTCTGCCAGGGTTTTCACTGCAGCCTTGGGGGCTCTCATACCAAAGCTGAGGGTTGGAGAGGAATACGGGAAGATGGTGGTGGGGGTGGTTTTACAAGGACATTAGGGGTCACCTGTCGAAGCAAATACTCTTCCTCTTCCTTGGAGATGAAGTCAGGTACATAGTAGATTACAGGTGGTGCCTACAATGGAAAGATTCCCCTGAAGATGTGGCCCTCTAACCCACAAAGGGCCCTACCATCACTGAGTAACCTCCCTCTCTGGAGGGAAGCTAAGGATGTCCTCAGACAGGCAAGGGTCTGAAGTTGAGGGACTCATGCCCATTATGAGTTGGGGTTGGGAGTGGGACTGGACTCTTGAGGGTAAAAACAAATTTGGAAGGAGGGGGGACTCCCAACCCAGGGACCCAGGAGTCAGCCTGTCTATCCCACCCCACCTCCCACTTTCTAGCCCCACCTTTACCCTCTGTATCCCCAGTCCTGACAACCTGTTCCACCCTGAATGGTTCCAGAGCTGGAACCCTGACGTCCTGCTCCTCCATCGACACCAACTCCTTGCACCCAGTCCTATGGGGAGTTGAAAACAAGCTTCAGTTACTAAGCCTCCTATCCTCAGTCTGTGATTCAGCCTTCTGCCCCATCACCATCCAGGCCCATTTTCATCCTCCTGTGAAACTCACTGTCTCTAAAAACCGAGTCCCCGACATCTCAAATGCCACACAGTGATCCCCTAGGCTCCTTGCCCAGCACCCAGCACACTCTTCCAAAATTCTGAGGACCCATCAAACTACACATGTGTCCTCTCCAGTCTCTCGCAGAAAGCATTCTCTGACCCCACACAGGGAACCTTTCTCCAAAGGTAGAGTTCCCCTACCCCATTTGCACCCCAGAGCCTCTTTAAATACCTTAATTTGAGACCCCACTTCAGACCTGCAACGATGAATGACGGCTCTCTGAGGCGGGGGACGCTTCTTCGACCTCAGCCCTTTCGGAGCCCCCATTCTGAGTGTCCTTGGGACACAAATCTAAGCCTCCTCAAACTCTTTCCACTCTGGAGCCCCTCAGATTTTTCTTTCAAAGCGCCCGTTCACTGCGGCTCTCTAGGACCTAAGTCTGACTCCTCTCAAACCTTCTTCCCTCCCTGAACCCTTGTCCCCGACTCTTTAAAGGACTCCCCAGTATGAACTCCCCCAGACCCCCACTCTCGGACCCCCTGGGCCCCCCATCTCTGCCCCCAGCCCCCAACACTGACCGTCCACTCGTGTCCCCTCCAATTTTCAGAATCAAGACCCTCCTCCCCCCAGCTACTTCCGCCCCACGTTGCGGAAGCAAAATACCTCAGACCAATGGGAACTCTCAGAAGCCTAAAGGGTCCGCCTTCCAACCAATTGGCGCTCTCGCTTGGCATTCTCCCGCCCCCTCACCCTCGCTCAGGGATAGGCCGCGCCTCCCGGCCTCTGAGCCTTCGGGGAGCCACAGGAGACCGGTCTTCGTCTGACACCGGCCAATCAGAATTCCAAAACCGAAAGTGTCCGCCCTGCGGCGTGGGCCCAGATGGGAGAACCTGCTGTAGTGACCGCGGGAAGGAGATAAGGGCTTGTTGGGTGGACTTTTTGCAGACTAGGCCATCCTACAACCAGGCCGCGGGGAGGCGAGATTGAAGGGAAGCCGCCTTCTCCCTCACTCCCCTAGCAAGTGTACAGAGGCCGTAGCCCACAAACAATGACCTGACACACAGAGGCCGTAGAAACGTCTTTATTGAAGAGGACAGGGGTCATGCTGAGTTTGGGGACATGCAGTGAGAAGGGGCAGTCGTGAGCTGTCCTTGGTGGTCAGGGCCCCACGTCTGCCCTGGACCCGCGGGGCCTTCAGGTTCTCCCTTAGGCTGTTGGCCTGGCCCAAGTGCTTTGAGGTCCTTTGGGGCCAGTAAATCAGATTTGGTGTCTTGGACCTGTGACCAGAAGATAGATTGAAATGGGGGCTCCAAGACTTGGGATTGCTTCAGGGCCTCGGGGCCCTCCACGTATTATAGACGGAGGCTTTAGGATTTGGGGGTCCCTTAGGGCTGGGGCTCTTGAATTTGGGTTTCTTGAGATCCTTGAACTCAGGGCATTGAAATCCTGCAGTTTCCAGGATGGGAATTCCTGTTTGGGGGTCTCCTGGTGCCTATGGACAGGGCTTGAAATACCCTGAGAGCCTGGAATTCATTTCCCGATTGCAGTCTCCTCCATCCCAGGTACAAGGACCTCATAATTGGGTTTTCCTGGGGGTTTGCGATTGGACTTTTAAATTTGGGATTCCCTGGGGATTTGGGGATTCCATGATTTGGGGGTCCTGGGAGTTAGAAATTTGGGATCTTCTAGGGGTTATAGGACTTGGGGGCACAGGGGTTCTTGGGACATGTATACTCTGGGGTGTGGGATCCCCAGAGTCTCAGAATGGGGTCTCCAAATTTTGGGGTCCCCCAAAGGGGGAAGTCATTACTTCAAAAATAGAGAATTTTCTGGGAGCCTGGCCAGCACAGAGGCTGGAGGCCATGTGGGGTGGGCTTCATACAAGGCACTGGGGGTTTCTTGAGGGTGCAGAGGGTAGGAAGACTTGGGGGTCCTGTAATTAGCACTTCCAGGATTGTTTTGGTGTCTATAAATTGGGGGGTGACAGTGGGCTAGTTAAAGTGGGTCTTTTCTTGAGGGGTAAGAACAAGGGTCTTTGTTCATGGAGAGTCTTTGAAAGGGGGAATGGAATGGAAGGGCTTCGGGGTGACCATGGGATCACGGAATCTTGAGGGCAATGATGTTAAATGGGGATAGTGACATGGTCTATTACTCTGGAGTTGTGACCTATGTGTATTACAAGGAGAATCAGGGAGAGTCTTTGTTAATGGGGGAGTTTCTGATCCACTGATGAGTGACTCAGAATGTCCTGTTATGGAACATTATATGGAAAGGATCAACCATAATTTGGGGTGATGCAAAAATCTGTTAATTAGGGTTCTGCTCTGAGGGGCTGGGATAGGGACTAGCCTGAAGGTGCTACTTAGGGAATCTTTTTCTGGGTGATATGGGGTCTGTATTTGGGGGGCAGGTTATCATGGGGATCTGTTAATAATGGGACCTCAGTGATTGAGGGCTGGCTAATGGGGGGGTCTCTATTCTGGATGTGTTACTGGGAATCTCTATCTCAGGGTGACTGGGGGCTCCTTGTGTCAGGAGATGCTAGAAGGTACTTCTTTGTCTCTGTCAGGTATCCAGGGCCTCTAAGACTGCATCTCTGCCCTCAGCATCCATGGAAACCAGCAGCAGAAGAGCAACCTAAAAGGAAAAGAACCTGGTCAACCATGATTCAGGATGCAGGGACATCTGGTTCCATCACCCCCTAGTCTTTGGGATTCTGTTTCTGGCTTTGCATTCTTAGGCTTATGTGCAGTGGAGGGTGTTCTGCTTCCTTAACCTGCCCCCTAAGAGGTGTCAGCAAAAGTCAGTATTGGGCCCTACACCCTAAAGACTGTTTCTAGGTGTGCTTACTAGTCACAACTTCTAGCTTCTATTTCAATCCCCAACTAGAGCCCCAGACCCTAGTATCCAATAGTCTTGTGAATGCCTCTCCCTAACAGCCCACAGGAAAGGAGACAGTCTTGGCCACACACCTGGAGATAGAGTTCTCTGACGCAATGTCCTTTGGAGTCCGGACTGTCGTGAAGGTGCGTTTGGGCTGTGTCACTGGAGAGGAGAGCAGGGTGAGAGGATGATAAACTCACTTGTGTCCTCAATACTCACCTAGAATCCTTGTCATTAATAGCTATCCATGTCCCCAGGACCTACCTGGATTCTATGTTCCCAATCCCCATCTGAACCTCTTGTCGATAATACCTTCCAAGTCCCCCTACACCTACCCATGTTCCCAAAATCCACTCAACCTATATCCCTGATGCCTGCTATAGCCTTGTTTTTTGATTTTGTAGGGTTTTAGTTGTTGTTGTTGTTGTTGTTTTAGGTGCTCGGGATTGAACCAGGGCCTTGCACATGCTAAGCAAGTGCTTTATATCTGGGTTATAACCCTAGCCCTCCAAGCCTTGTTGTTAACTTCCTCATACCCTATAGCACCTCATTTTCCTGGGCTGACTCTTGTCATAAGCATACACCTGAAAACCCATGACCCTTCTACCATTCCCAGACCCACATGCCTCCCCATGTTCAGCCCCCAACTCACTTGTCACTTGATGTACTTTTTTGGCTCCAACACTGTCCCCAGGGGGATCCGTAGACCCACCAATCCTGGGGAGACACAAGGAATGGAAGAAATCAGAGCCACAAGAATTCAGGGTCTCTCTGGAAGGTGAGCCCAGAGGAAAGGGCTAGGGTGTGGGTGGTAACTACAATGTCCTGCTAGTCCAAGAGAAAGAAACCAACCAAGGGTGGATTAGGGCTGTTGGTGGCTCCCTGGGTCAGGGGTCAGAATTTGGGCTCACCTCTGAATGCGGGATGCTGGTGCAAAGACTCCATGCCTTGGGGGGCAGGTGAAGTACCGGACACCAAATACAGAGCCATCGTGCTTGCCTGTGGGCTGGTCCAGCTCAATGCCATACCAGTAACCTGTAGCAGGAAGGTGTCAGGATGCCCCAGAGCCTTGCCTGTCCCCCAGCCACAAATCCCTTTTCTCACCTGGAGCAAAGTCTGTCTTTCCATAAAAGCGCACAATCCCCTGCTTCTGGCCTGCCACAAGGACTTGGTCTCCAACTTCAGCCTTGGCCCCCTCACGCTGCTGCAGGCTGCCCAGAGATGGGGACGATGGGGACTTCTTCTTGCCTGTGAGGAGATGGTAAGGGGAAGATGGGGCCTCAGATGCCAGTTTTGGGGACCCCCATGCCACCTGGAAAGTCTCAAGATAAAAATTCTGTCCTGGCTCTAATCACAGGAACTTTAGTGCCTTCCACAGGATTAGGGTAGGGGATGGTATTTGGGTTTGAAGGGAAACTGAATCTCAGACGCCAGAGAACTAGGAGAGAGGCCTTTAGACTTGAGTGGAAACTGAGCCACAGAACCTAGAGAATCCAAAAGTCTTAAAACTGAGGATATAAAGGCCAAAGGAAAAACTGAGGCAGAAGTTGTGAGCCTAGAAACTGTCCTTTTTACAATGCTAGGTTGTGGCTCACTGGTAGAATGCCCTGGGTAAGATCCCCAGGACCACAAGAAATAAAAAATTAGCCAGGTATGGTAGCACGTGCCTGTAATCTTAGTTACTCAGAAAGGAGGCTCCCAAGTTCAAGGCCAGCCTGGGCAATTTACTGAGAACCTGACTCAAAATTTTAAAAAGGCTGGGAATGCAACTCAGTGATAGAGTACTTGTGTAGCTTATGTTAAGCCCTAGGTTTGATCCCCAGTGCCACTAAGTATATAAATAAATAATAAAACGAAGTCTGGACACAATATTGTCTACATGTAGTTCTTCTTGCCTGTGAGGAGATGGTAAGGGGAAAATGGGGCCTCAGATGCCAGTTTTAGGGACCCCATGTCAAGACCCCAGCATTCAAGAGGCTGAGACAGAAATTCAAAACCAACCTGGGCAATGTAGCAAGACCCCTGTCTCAAAAATCAATCAATCAATCAATAGTGAAATAAAATGAAGGGGGATTTGGGTCTGAGAATAAGTAAATCAAGTCATAAAAGCCATAAACCCCTGGAACAAGAACTCCCAGAAAGAGTCTTCCCCAATTTGGGGAAGACTTTGGGCTTGAGGGGAAACTAAGTAGAAGGCAGTGAACCTATAAGTCCTTTCAAGAACTGGGTGGGGGCTGGGGTTGTGGCTCAGTAGTAGAGTACTTGCTTAGCATGTGTGAGGCACTGGGTTTGATTCTCAGCACTGTATATAAATAATAAAATAAACAACAACAAAAAAAGAACTGGATATGGCTACTCCTGAGCCAAAGGGAAAACTGAGTTAGAAAAGCCAGGAATTCAGAGCCTATCTTCTAAAACTACAGTTTGGGCCAGAGGAGAAACTGAGTCACACAAACTGAGCTATCCACAGAATGTCCCCATGACTGGCTCCTCCTATCCCTAATGTTCCCCCTCTGACCTTTGTGTTCCCTTCGGCCTTTGCCAGTAACACGGGAGAAGTCCATCCGGGGAGTCCGGGGCGTGGAGGTGACAGACGAGGGGGGTGCATCC